AAATCAAAGGGACATATTAAATGTTCCTGCTTTCTATTTTCCCCACAACAACCCTGTGAAGTGAGTTGGATGGAGAGAGAGTGAGTGGCCCAAAGTCACCCAGCCGGCTTTCATGCCTAAGGGAGGCCTAGAATGCCTGGTTTCTACTCCAGCACCTTAACTACTGCCCCAAACTGGCTGACGGTTAGACTTCCCCCATTCAAACTGGACTGGAATCACTCAGGCAAGGTGACAAAAAATCCAAGAACTTTGGATAAGTAATCCTGATTGAAGAAAGTTGGAAAGCCATCACTCTGTGGGTTTCAGCTGTTCAAGCAGTAGTCTTAATTATAGTAAGAGTGTTTAAACCTTCTTGTGTTCCATTTAATTCCCTGCCTTAAATAGCAGACTACTTGGTCTCCTCTTTTGAGTGGGCTGGCTTGTTTCTATCTGGTTTTGTAATGGTCAGATTTGCTCGCATCTGTTACTGACAGCATCAGAACTAACTCTCACAAAACTCACTTTCCGCAATGCATGCATATTTAAATTTTCTGTAAAAATGGCATTCAGGTCATGTCAGTCATTTAAATTAATTTCAGATCATGCATACACTTAGTCTGAGTTCAGATGCTAACTCTGCAAAAAATTCAGAATGATCTCCCACTGAGACCTCCTTTGCTCATTAATCAAGAGCGATAGCATCTGAATAGTAAGGGGTTTTTGGTACAGGAAAACAGGAATTAAAACCTGCCATGATCTGCCTGAAATGAGGGGAAAAAATTCTCCAACTGTTCCTCAATGGCAGGCTCCCCTTTAGCCCTAATAGTAATCTCACTGCTCAAAAGCCTACCTTGGGATGAATTTCCTTCTGGTTCTTCTCCTGGAATCTAATGGAAGTGTGGGAAGCCAGGGAGGCTGTGGATCACTAGGGAAAATAATTGCCCAGCGAAAGATAGATATTCACATCAACCCCATGGCCGACATGTAAGTGCTTAGAAGTACAAGAATACTCCACCTGTGAGAATGTCTCCAAAGTTCTCTTCTCCTTTGAAAGAGACGCCTAAAGCAAATTCTCTTTCTTTACTGAGCAAGAAGTGATAGGAAAAAATAGAGAAGAATGGCATTGCTCAGCACCAGTTTGGATGGCACATTTTCTAGAGCTTTACTATTGCGCAAGATCCATCCATCTTTCATTAGCTGATTTGAGCCTGGAGATGATAAGCATTCATCTAGTCAACGTTTTAAGCAGATACAGTATTCTTTTTGCGGAGTGCCATTGATAATGGGCTGAATGGGACAGGGATATCAAATGGGCAGAGAATAACCAATATTCTCTGAAATTAATTTCATTAAGCAATGCTTGATACAGCTCTGATAATTTCATAGGTCTTATTGGGGCACTGCTTGGAATCATACATAAGGTCCGTTGATCTGATCATTTCTAAAGAGGTTACCTGTGAATCTTTTGCAACAAAAGCAACCTAATGATGAACTTATTTATTCCGGAGTAAGGTTCCAGGAATTACTGACTACTTAATCAAGTGCAGTATTTTATTATTTAACACTTTCTCATAATAAGTTGGAACTTCATTTTCAAAATAATCTCTGGTTCTAAGCAGCAGGTAAACTATGGTACTGGAATGAAGTACTCTTATCGACTAATTTCAGTAGCCTTGGAATAAAAATCAGAGATGGGAAATATTTAAAATAAAAGTGAACTTCTACTGCAGTTTAAAACATTGATATTTGTTTAAATAGAACCAGAAGTAAATTGGAACAGGTTAAAATAATGTTTCTTGGGAAAAAATGACAAGTGTTTACAATTTTAACTGCTAGAATGTATACATTATTATGTTGTTTTGTAGTTTAATATTTGTGGGATTTTTCCAGATTAATATTTGGAGTGAATAGTTCTCGTGAATACATTAAAACATTTTCTCAGTGACATTATTGTTATCTGCTTAATTTTTTTCACGCCGATTGATTGCAAGAGGGATCAAAAGCTTTGATACGTATAAGTCCAACTTGATCCATATTGAAAAGATAGTACCTGCTACTAGAAAGAATCTCCAAAAATATTCCAACCATAAGATTGGGTTTTTCAAGAGTTTGCTACTCAAAACATACCAAATATCACTTCTCAAGTTTGAACGAGTCCTAAATTAGACACAGTGGCATTCTTTCAGATTATTTATGGCTGTTCTATGGTTTCAGGTTAGGGGTGGAAATGCTGTTTTTCTGTTGGGGTCTTGGATGCAAATACTGGTGACATTTCATTTTAAATCCTCTTTGTTTTAATTTCAGTCCAGCCCAAGCCAGCTGAACATTCTGCTCTCAGAAATACCAACAGCAGCACAACTGCAGAACCAGGTAAAAACATGGGAGGGAAAACTCTAGTTAGGAAGAACCCTTTTAAACTTAGGGTGTGTTTTGCTCTTAGGATGAGGTGACAAATATTACTTGGCAGGCCTGGAACCCTGATGCAGAGAATGTAAAAATAAGGAATGACTCACGTGGCTGTTTTTGTCCATGTCATCAGGGTCTGTGAAGGGTAGGGTCAAAAAAGTGAAGATGGTGGCCTGATTGTGTGATCAATCTGTTTTTATGTTCATTGTGGCCATTTTGACATTTTTGACCAAATGCTGCATACGCCCCTGTTATATTCCTCCATTGTCATGAAGTTCTATATGTACCAACCAGAGATATTTTTTATGGGGATGATGACATGGTTCAGCCAACTCTTTGGGAATGCACGTCAGGGACAACTAGCAAGTAATTTCCTTATTTAAGTTGCATATTGTAAAACTCTACATTTATGATCTCTTCTGAATGATCTCTGCTGCTCCGTTTCTTGGGCCAGTTCCTCAGTAATGATTTATACTATTTTACAATTTCATCCAACCAATTCTGAGATGGTTGAAAGCCTGTCCTTATTACACTTATTTCAGCACTGCAATGGAAGGATGATGCTGTAAAAGACCAATGAGGAAATAGCCTCAATCTGTCTCTTATCTTTTTTTCCCCTCAAATCAGCAATTAATGTTGCCCATAAGATTGCTTTCCATGGGCAGGAGGGGGAGGGGAGAAATAGGGTGGGAAGAACAGAAAATGCCTCACTTTTATTCTGCTTCACCAGTCACTCCAACCGCCTGGGCAGGTTGGAGAAAAGAAGTGGCTGAACATGAAAAACACATCAGGTTGGAGTGAACTGGAGCAGAGAATGTGATTTTTAATTTGCACGTTACTGTTAAGCGGTTCCTTTTTATTTGTTTTAGAGATTCATATTTCACCCTCCCCCATAACCCTCTGTTAGAATATGATTAAACAATAATAAAATTAAAAATGAACTTATTAAAATTGAAGAAATGAAAGGAAGGCAAAAAAAAATTGGCATCAGATTTCAGAAGAAAGCTTTTAATTTTAATAATTGGGAAAAAATAAGGAGGTCACCTAGCAACAAAATAACAAAAGTCTCTGGCAAACAGCTTCTTTGGGCAAGACTGCCATTGTTGTAGAGTCACTCAGAAAGGTTGTGCTGTCTTCATAACACTTGCTGTTTCCATGCTGGGGGAGCCCCAAAGTAGTGCTTTTGATGTTGACTTCAAAAAAAAAAAAAAAAAAAAAAGGGCTCAGGGAGAGAACTGTTGCTTCTTTGCAGACTTCTAGTATCAGGCAGGCAGCTCAGAAACGTGAAGCATGCAAATATTTGCTGTTCAACACACTTGGAAGTTGGTGATACACCAAAGCACAAATGCATGAGCAAAGATGTTGTCTGTAGATATATGCTATCACTACCTTTTGGGGGTAAACAATGCTATACAAAGTGCTGAAGAGTGACAAAGGAATTAAATTCAGGAAATAAAAGAAAAAGAAAGGAAATGTTGTTAAGTCTAGTGTGCAGCAACATCATTCACTTTGTGTCTCCATATCTTCGTGTTCTTGCAAACCATCCTTGCTTCCTTCACATCCATATGCTACTTCATACATTGTTTTTTTAATTTGTCACCACTGTCTGTTTGAGAAGCTCATCAATTTTATGAAGTCATTATTCTCTCCATCTTCCCCCTCCTCTTGACCCATTCATTCTTCTTTCATACATTTGATTTGTGATTTAATCCCTTACTCATTTCTCTAAATGACCAAAGTACCTCAACATACTTCTTTCATAGTGATCACTCACTTTTTTATTCAGTCCCTTTCTCTTCCTGTTTTACTACA